GTGTAAAGACAAGTAATAAATTTAACTCAAAGTGGGCATGACCTGTAGGTACATGTCATCCTCGGCAGCACTGGCTTAACATAAAGTATTGGATGTCTCTATTTTATCTTGCTAATATGTATAAGATGGATATTTGTTGGCCAAAGCCAGGATGTACGGTGAAAGGGCTGTATTAGTCACTTGACACTCCACCACTATCATGCTAGACTTCAGACTAAGCCATCCATCATATATCAAGGAAAAAAGTCCCATTTTGAAAGTCAGTATGAATATCTTCTAAATATTCATTTTGCATGTTTCAGTAGATCTGGACTTTTAGTATTGTTTAATTATTATATTAAAGGATTATTTGATTATCATATACCTTTTATGTTGAACAGTTTGTACATGAGGATTTTTTTTTTTTTTTTTTTTTTTTTTTTTTTTTTTTTTTTTTTTTCCAGACTGGTAACTTTAGGAACCAGTAGTCATGATATTCCATATTATCTATTCCATATTGCTCATTAAGATCTGTTTTTCCTTTTTTCTCTCTCTATAAAAATGACAAAAAAACATGATCAGCATAAAAAAGTGTTGAAAAGATGACTGAAAATTTACTATACACAGAATTTCTTCATTATATACAAACAGTTGTCACATATAATAAACTGATTTTCTGTAATATGCATTTTTCTTCCCACATACAGAATTTAACATCAGTTCCATGATATCGTATAAGCAAAACATACAATATAAATATGGCAAGAAAATTTCTACTTTACACATATCATTAGAAAAGTTTTTATTTACAGGGATGGGTAAAAGGAATAAGAAAGCAGAAAGAGCTATCTTTTATAGACATTGATGATGGTTCAAGCATTCAGAAACTTCAGGTAAGTGTGATATTTAGCTACAGAATAATGGCAGGACTATATGTGTCTTTGATATAGTTTGTGATGTATAGTGGTGTTGTAGTGGTATTGTACTATTACAGACTGAACCTCAGTAGTCCTATATTTACAGGTCAAGTATCTCTGATAGTTCAAATAGTTGCTTTCAGTCTGAAGGTCATTAGTTTGTATGAGCACCAGAGTTAGGATGAATTCCTTTTGTATCATTACAGTTCAATTTCAGTTTAGACTGAAATATGGATTGATAATTTCTGGTTCAGTGTTGAACCAGAGTGCTGACTACTGGCAATTAAATACCAATGAATATACCAACAGGTTGAGCAGGCAGGGTTAATAAATTAAGGCACCACTAGTTTTGGTCTTAAAAGTCAGAAGATGTAAACAGATTACATCTAGGTCTAGAGACATAGCAGCTCAATTCACAACAATGTCTGACAGGGCCAGAAAGAGCTTGGGATGACTATATGTTTTTCCCCATGCCATCTCAGCCTAGCACAATGACAGCAACTGAACTTGTAAATCTTAAATACTTTTACCCAAAACAGGAATTATCCAAGAGTTGCTTAACTAAATGGAAATTAATTGAAATTAATTAATTGAATTGGTTGATTCACTTGATGTCTCTTTAACATTTATGTAGTAGCAAACAATATGTTTTAGCGTTTACTTGATTATACTTTAAGCTATTTTTTGTACAGTAATTAATTTGTACATTCCAGCTTAAGGTACTGCTTTATCAGTTTAATTCAAGTTTAATTAGATCCAATGGCATTCAGTTTGCTGCATTTTTATTCAGATTCAGTTCATGATTGACCCCAGCCCAAATGATCATCCCTAAGCCATCTATGGAACCAATGCAGCTCCATATTAGTGACATCTTCCACAGTGATTAATGATTATATTACTATGCCTTCTTTACTAGAGTTTAAATGCTTCTTAAAGTGCACCACTTCATTATCTGTCTGGTAGTGAGGTTCAGCCTGTACTAGAATGTTATTGTATAATATTGTACCTTGGTTTCTAAGAAATCATGCTGAAGATATATTTTACAGCAGAATTTGTAGCTAAAGTGTTTTTTGCAAGACAAAACCACATACCTGGTAGAAATAAAGTTATATATGAATAAGGATATACAATCTGTATATGAACATGAACAGAAAAATAAATTGAATGACAGCAAGATTTTATATTAAGATATGGAGAAGAATACAGTGAATAAGCTACACAAAAACATTAAATGGATTGTATTTGGACCGAAATACTGAAAAAAAAAAAATTCATTCAGTTATATATCTTTACAAACTTTTACATTTTACTGCAGATTGTGGTACCAACAGAGAAGATCCCTCCAGGAGTTGGGTACCACACCTCAGTCTCGGCCTTAGGTACTTTGCAAGCTTCTCAGCATAAAGGACAAAGTGTAGAGCTCATAACAGAAGTTATAGAAGTGAGTATATTGCCTTTTCTTCTTCACTAAAAGCTCACATTGTCCACACATCCAAGAGTGTAATAAAATATTATTAAGTATATTTTCATTTGTGTGTTTGTTTTTGTATAAATATATATTCATTCATTTATGTATTTATTTTTTTATATCTCTATTTACATATAATATACATCTATACATGTATGTGGGATAACATGGTATGTGAATTTAATTTTTTTCATCTATTTCAATTAACCCATTACTATTTTGTAGTTAATTGGTGGACCACAAATAGAGAACTACCCTTTCAAAGCTAGGAAGAGGCATCCCCAAGATTATGTTCGCCAGTTCTTACACTTGAGAGCAAGAACTAACACCTTTAGCTCTACGCTGCGAGTGAGATCACAGGTATGTAAGTTTATGAAATGGTTTCATTTTATCTAATTTTCTTCCCATCAGATAACTGGATAAAGAATAACTCATCACTGAAAAATACTAAGCCATAAAGGATTTCACCTTTCCTTGAATTGGTGTGAAAAACATATTTTTACTAGTGCTATAAATATAGATGGTGTTATTTTTATTATAAACATTATAATTACTAAAATGTTATAAACATTTGTAACAGCAAAATAAGATAACATTAGATATTTTTGTAAATTGATGAAAAGGGTGAACGGGCGAGACAGCCGGTACTTGTAACTGGCTCATTGGTGATTTAGTACAAGTGCATCCATCTATGTGTAAAAACAATTAAACAAGTAAACTCATAATTTGCATGGCATGTACGTATATGCCATGCCCGTCGTCAAGGGGTTAAGATTTGTTTAGAAGTGAGAGGTAATGGCCAAAGTAAAAAAATAAATAAAAAGCAGTGCTCATTTTTATCAAAATTTACTCTTTGGTATCATATGATAAATATAATCAACAGTTGAAATTATTATGACGAGTACTTTTGGCAGCATGAACCACAGATTTGATACAGACACATTTTAAGAAAAGAGTAAGAAGCCATGATACTGTCACAGGACTTCATCATCTCAAACTTTTCTCTCTTGAGTACCCTGGTAAAACACTGTCTATTTTTTATTTATTTATTCATTATTCATTCTCTCTCTCTCTCTCTCTCTCTCTCTCTCTCTCTCTCTCTCTCTCTCTCTCTCTCTCTCTCTCTCTCTCTCTCTCTCTCTCTCTCTCTCTCTCTCTCTCTTTTAGTTATTACTTCATTCTTCTTTTTGTCTGTCCAGCCAACCCTAGGCATCAGTAACTTCCAGTCCACTGCTCGGTCATCTGAATTTCCAGGTTCAAGTTAATATGATTCCACTCTAAAGTTGCTCTGCTGCACCTCAGCTTTTTCTGCTATATATCTGTCATCATCCATAATACAAAATTATTTGAAAAGTTAAGTAGATCAAAGTAAACATCAGCCAATTCTATTTCAGACACAATAGCAATACCAGCCAATCGCTGTGACATTATCATAACATCAAAAAATTTTTTTAGGTTCACAGGTGGTTCATTTAGGCAAAACTACTGACCAGAGAAGCCCCAAAGAGCCACAAACTATCTAACTTGTCAGTCTCCCCCACATAAAAATATTATACACCAGAAAGTATATATTTTATTGTCACATGTCAAGTGCAAACCACATCAGTAGAGAGAGAGAGAGAGAGACAGAGAGTGAGTGAGAGAAAGAAAGAAAGAAAGAAAGAAAAGAGAATGAGAGTGAGTGATTAAGTGAGTGAGTGTCACAGTTACCTTTCATGTATGAATGAAATGTAAATAAAACATATATCAAGCAACAAATTTACAATAAATGGACAGTGATAAACAGAAGGTACTCCTGATAGGATGGTGTGTGGAGGGTATGTGTGGGAGCTTAAAAGATGGGGGTTTAGCTAGATGAAATGTACCACACAGTTTGAGAATTACTGTTACATTCTATTCACAGCTGAAAAGAGGCCAGAGACATGGCAGAGGGAGAGGAAGGCCTCTAAAAGGATTAAGAATATGAGCAATATCATGGGTGTGGCCGGAGGAAACTTGCCAAACAGATATTTTGGTGTCCACCACAGTTGTCTCATGGATAATAAAAAAGTTGCAGGGAAAATATACCCATGTTTGACAAGGGGCACATAGCAAACTTGACAGACATTATCTGGAAAGCAGTGATTGTAGCAAACAGAGTGATAGTGGTTAAATTCATCTATTGACTTATTAAATGATACTAAAGAATATATTTCATTTTTAAGGAACCTACAAAGTGAGTTTGTATTTTAGATAGTTAGATGTGAATGTCTATAGTGTATTTTTAGACAATTTGTAAAGTAGGGTTATTATGATTCTGAATAGTGTATCATCCATATCAGTGGTTTATACCATACAAACATATGTCTATTAGAATATGCTAAAAACACTATACCATTCTATACTCCGTCATAGTGATGATCCTTTTGTATACTTTTTCCCCACATTTAAAAAGTACTTTTTAAAATTGTTTAATGTTATGCAGACAGTTCATTGTCAGGCCATTACTCTTTACTGAAGAACTAAAGAGTTTTAATATGATTTTGATTGGTGTAACTTTGCTTATGAAACCCTGGAGGTGAACAAACTAGTATATGTACCATATGGGTCCTTTTCATAGCATCCATGATGGATTTTCAGTATGTATTTGTTTAAAC